GAATCTTAAAGCATTAAAAGGACGTTAAGTAAAATGAACTTAATATTAAACAAGGATTTTTCTATCCCAAGGAGAGGATTTGATTTTCAAGGCTTCTAAAATCTACTCGCTTAGCTGCCAAAAGCAAATTTACTTTTTAAACAAATAACATTTATTTCTACAATGCTTTTTATTCTGCCTTCTCACTTTATCTTGTTTTGTCTACTGTGATGGTTTAGATTAGAATGTCAGATTTTATACATATGGAAAATGAAATTAAGAGGGTTTTGTTATAACTGGCAATGCCAATAAATTACTAGGAAAACCAAAGATACCCAACTTCAGTTAAGAAAATGATCATTAATGGAAATTTAAGGAATGCATCCTCATTTTACTTTTCTTCCTTTCAATGTTTCCAGGGGATCCAGATATATACACACACTATTTGTGTTTTAGAGGTACAAATTAGCAAACTCCTATTCAGATCAGATTTAAAACATTGAATTTCAGCATAGATAAAATTCTTTTATTCTAAGAGCCATGGCCAACAACATTTCAATAAAATGAAAATTACCCAAGTTCTGGCAGATGGTTCACGGTTATAATGCTCTGAATGAATTACCAAAATATTGCAACTTCCAAATTCAAGGAAATAGGAAAAGAACATATTTAACATCTGATTCAACCACAGTGTGGTGTGCTGTGTCGACCAATGAGCTTGAAATCATATCTATGGGTTTGATTTTAAGCTCTGCCACTTACCTCTTTGCTCATGGGAAAATTCTTAACACCAGCTTCAGTTCCAGTACCTACTTTTCCCCAGTAAAATAATGAATATGAATGTACTTTGCAAATTATAAGGTGATGTGCAACTGTAAAGCAGTCCCTCAATCAAAAGTTAATAATTTAACAACAGTCCCTTTTAAATCACATATAATATTCCATATTTCTTCCAAATATTGGTTATCCTCATCTATTTCAACACACAAAAAAATTGGAGGTTACACTAAGAAGCCTGAATTTGTCCCCACAAGAGCTCCTTATCAATGACTGGAGGATTTTAGTTTATGCTTGGCAATTAAAGAAATGAAAAGAAAGCAAGAGGTCTTCTTTGAGTTTTTATGCATGTTTGATATTCTGCTGTGCTCAATTAAAGTCTTAGTCCTTGTTTAAAGAAGATGTTTGCTAATAGCCCACATTTTTGCTTTGTAAGTATCTCTCTTAGAATGAATACAAATGAATAATGATTGCCAGTAACTTAAATTAGTTGAATGAATTCCTCTTTAATTGTTATAGGTCAAATATCTCTACAACCATCGACTGTCCAATTCTTTTTTTTTTGGGGGGGGGGGGGGGGCAGGTGAATGTTGCCTAAATAAGTGAATCATCAATGGTGGCTGAGAAATCTCTGCTATCTGGGGAATTTGCTCTAGTAATTAATAATAAGTCCAATACAACAAACACAATATGCTGCCTGGCTGGCGTGGCTCAGTGGTTGAGTGCTGACCTATGAACTAGGAGATCACAATTCGATTCCCAGTCAGGGCACATGCCTTGGTTGCAGGCTTGATCCCCAGTGTGGGGCATGCAGGAGGCAGCAGGTCAATGATTCTCTCTATTCATTGATGTTTCTATCTCTCCCTCTCTGAAATCAATAAAAATATATTTTAAAAAACAACAATATGCTCTCAGCACCTCTAATTTATGACAAGATCATTTGGCAGTAGTGCAGGAAAAGAAGTTTACACTTCCATCATGCTAATAACAGTGTCTAAAATGTCAAAAGGTAATTAATACAATTTTTTCTTGCTTTTGAATATCAAGTGCTATCATAACATTGTTACTTTGGATGACCAATTCTCTCATTCCTCCTACAATTGCCCTTATCCACCTATCTCTAGAATGAAAAAAAATCAGTGAATTTTTCAACTTAAGTCATTTCAAATTCTACACCAGATGCAGCAATAAAAAGACAAAAAATGAACATGTGGGTCAAGAGATTGACTACACCATATAAGAAATGATATTCTCCTCTTAAATGCTAATGCTTATAACCCATGCTTATAAAATGTGAACACTTCACACTTTTTAAATTATTTCATTTATAGTCAAATCCAAGTTATATTTCTGGGTGTTTTTTTTCTAATTTTCTTCAATAAATTGCTTTTAAATACTTATATATATGCTATGTGACTGTGGGAAATGAGATATATTTTAATTTTGTGTGACATGAACTAAGCAATCTCACTGCCTTACATAGTCTCACTTCATCTAACTTACATTCTGAACACATTCCAGCTATAAAGATCCCAACTCTAAACAATCATATAAACCACTTTAAATGAAAGTAAATACTAAAATGAAAAGTAGGTTTTGAGAACGGAGAACTTTAATCTAGCTCAGTATTTCTAAAGTTAATAACAGTAACAACAATAATAGTTGAATAATAATTCATGTACAATACTGACTCTGTGCCAGGCACTATTTTAAGCACTTGCCATAAAATAAAATCACTTTTTGAGAGACATAACTACTAATAAACATTGTGCCTTTATTTCTTTGTCAGAGCATATATTTTGATTTCTACCATTAAATATAGTTTTAATGTTTGATAGGGAGCTGAAGAGAGAGCAAAAATGGGTGAAAATTACTCTATGGCCTTAGTCAAAATGAATCATAATTAACCAGCCTTCTTAACACTTCACACTCTACAGTATCCATTTACATTAAAATGGTAGCAAATCAATTCCTGCAATGAGTTCTTTCTTTATATTCTTCCTTTTATATAACTCAGTTAATTATGTCTTTGAATTATCCTCAGGATCACCATTTTTACAAGAAACTAAATCATTAGTTTAAATTGTTGCAAGTTCATTTCAGTGTTAATCCAACAACAAAATAAAATATACTGGTGAAGTGCTTTACCAATATATGTGCTTCCACGTACATTCTCTTGTTTCAATCTAAGCCCTGCCCTCCCTGAGAAATACAGCCTCTTTGCTGTATTAATAGTCACTCGATACAATTACGAATTTCCTCAATGAAAAACACATATAGAGACCATTAAATTATTAAAATAACTACAAAATCAATTGAAGTTATTTATAAATCAGTAACTTATGCTAAAATAATGATAATTGAATCTGGATAATCCTTGGAAAGTGAGGGTTTATTTAAGACACAAGATTTCACTAATTTGAATCTTTGCTGAAACAAAAAGTATCGGAAAATATAGACAAACTTCTGTGTAAACTTCCTTTCCAAGATACTACAGGGCACGGGTAGCTATTAAATACCTACATCAATATCACTACGGGTGTCTTCAGCAGTTAGGCTCAAACAATATCTTGAGACCAATTTTGGGGTGTACTTTTAAAGTAGATCTGTTTCGGAAAAGCATACTATGAATTAAATTATTGGAAATATAATTATATATTTTAAATGCATGGTTTAAGTAGTAGTGATGATCATGTGTGCATTTGTGCTGGGGGAAGGGCTCACAATTTAAAGGAGATCTGAATGAAATTCTTTGCCAAGATAAAGCATTCTTTTGTCCTTTTGATGATCACTCTTTAATGTGTCCATGCTGAAAGTGAGTTTTTTGTATGGCAAGTTCTCTAAAGCAGGAGGAGAGAAAGGGCCGGGGGATGGAGTGGGGGCGGCAACACCTGCACTAAATAGGAAGCTTGTTAGGTGACTGTTGTGATCAGTCCCCAGCTTGTTCTGCTTGATCAAGCACAGTGGGCAGAGTTCCAATCACAAAAGCATTCCAGAAAGCAAGCAAAGCAAAAATCTTCACTAAACTGACTACTGGAATGAAAACTGTTAGGATTCATCCCTTCCCTCCATTGGGAAAGAAGCACATTCTACTAAAGAGGGAAAGCACTTGAGACTATGGAAACATCATTCACCCTCTAAAATCATTTCTTGAGAATATCTCCAGACACACTGCTAATGATACTGCACAATGTACACAGTAGATTTAATCAAAGTCTTATTTTTAACTCTTGCTTATTCTTCCTTTGGTAAAGGAATCCTTTAAAATTCTTCCACTGTTGCAGTAGGCTGCCCCTAAGGTCAGGTCTTCCTCTAGCCTTATTATCTTGCGTTCCTAGATTTCCCAGAAGACACATCAATGAAGATGTTCTAAATGCTTTTTAAACCTTCGAAACAATATTCATACCCATTATCACACTGTCACAATACCCTCTTTGGGGAGAGTTACATGAAGAAAATGAGGCACAGGGAAGATGACTTACCTGTCACTTAGTGACAGAGAAAAAGAACACACAAAGTGTTCTGGATATTTGTTCTGAATGGAAAAACACATTCCACAGCCAAATACTCTCTTGTTTTAATCACCTGTTGTTTTGAATATTTATGCTTTGTTCCTTCCAGATATTCATGGAAACAACTGAGATTTAATCATCCTGATAAATCACAGCAAACGCACGTAAGGATAATTGCTTTTTTAAAAGCAATGTTCAGAGAAGAAAGTCATCCACTTCTAAATGCTAACAATTGATTTCCACTGCTTGATATTCTGTGATCTTATTAAAATTCCTGCAATTAACAAGTTATAGGAAAAAACACTCTACTTGTTTTGAAAATGAGTTCTTGGGATTCAATCCAAGATGTCCTATTTACATAAATCAATAAGCATTAGGGGGGGAAGAGTATCTGAAAACGCTCTCATGCTACGTATCCTTAAGTGATAATTGGTTCTTTTCAGATAAAGAAATAATTGGATTAAAACACATTTGTTTTAAAGATCACAAGGTATTTCATACATAAAATTGAATTATATTTTCCATGCTAAATAGGGAGCAGCTAATGAAATATTAACTCACTTTGGAACTTTAAAGCACTTAACAAATATATTTTTACTTTGTCGTTGGATTAACACTGAAGTGAAGTTTCAACAACTTAAACTAATGATTTCGTTTCCCTAAAACCTTAATGTAGTAGAACGTCAATTCATTAAGCACTAACCGTGAACTTTAGGAAAATTAATTCTAAAATTACCAACCTCTTTTGGGAGAGTCGAACTTTTTGTCCTCAGGTCCAGCGAAGGCGAAGTCCATTCTCACGTATGTGTCTTCCTCATCAGAATCTTCTCGCTCGGGGCGCCTAGGCAACCAGTGGCGAGGTGGTGGTGGGGGAGCAGCAGCTGCGGTAGCAGCCTCACCAGTCCTGTTCTCACCTCTGGCAAGGTCTGAAGATGGGTTTTGGGCTCTAGGGTTGGAGCTACTGGCAACGACGTGGGCACTAGCAGCATTAGCAACAGGTTGGAACCAGCAGGCAGAGGCAGAGTTAAATCCAGAGGCAGCCTCCAAACCCGCAGCGGCTGCCCCTGTGCCTGGGACCGCTGCGAGGGCGGAGGCAGCGGCTAGAGCGGGGCCTACAGCTAAGGTTGGCTCAGCGCCCACAGCCGAGGTGGAGCCTAGGGAGGTGTAGAGGTGTCTCTCCAGGCTGTCGGTAGGGAAAGCGGAGACAGCAGCTCTGGTGGATGCAAATATACTTTGCGAACGGCTTTGTGTGCTTCTTCTCTCTAGCCCTTCTTCCTGCAGCAGCCTAGCTACAGGTGGTGGTTCTGAGCAGCGGCTAGGGGAGAGAGAAATGTCCATATGGCACTCAGAAAATGGGTCGACCACATAGATTCGACCTGTTTCAGCATCATAGCGAATGGCACGATCACCAAAAGTCAGGGCTGGTGTCATTGCTGGGTTGAATGTCACTTCAATGTACTCACACTCTTCCTCATTAGCATTGCTACCTGTAGCACTGGTAAAAAGAGGCAGAAGTGGCCACCTAGCACCGTCCAGAAAGAAGCGGTTGATACCTGGAATAGCTCTTAAAAGATTTGAGAGGACGCTTGCTGCATTTCGAAATGGCACTCTGAACTCAATATTCATGTAATGAGAAAAGGCTGACTGTCTGGGGTTAGCAATTATGCCCCAGGAATGTGGCAGTCCTTGAGTAAAGGGGGCTGACGTATCACTGCTTCTAGTGAAGTCAATGTTGGCATAGTCACTAAAGTTGTCAGCCTCTCTCTGCTCATGTGTGGGCTTTTGTGTTTTGGGCTCGATTTTATTTTCTTTTGTAATAAAAGAAAGTTGGTTAGGTCTCTTAGCCTGGTCCTTAGGGGGCCCATCATCTGAAGGCTTTGGAGCTGAACTCCCATCTCCAGGTTTTGAGACTGACTGGAGGGTAGCTTCAAAACCCTCAACTGAAGGCTTGGAAGCTGCATATTTGGGGCCCCTGATTGATGACCATTCTTTAACTAAGCCCTTCCCCAGGAGTTTTCCAGAGAACATTGGTACATACTCACTGTGGTCACTCTGTCCCGATGGGGAGCTCTGAAAAGTTTTTGGCAGAGAGAAGTAGGAGCTCCAACTTTTGGAGGAAGAGCCTCCCTGAGGATTTGGGGTTTCTTTTGGAATTGCACCAGCTCCAGGAGCCATAAACATGTAATCACTGTCACTATCATTGTCCTTAGAGTTATCCTCTTTATAAGGATCAGGTGCTTTTGGAGGAATTGGGGCAGGTGGTGGGTTTCCTCTGGGAAACATCATCATATACCCTCTTGAATCTTCAAAAGAGGATCGGGAGTGATACTTTACTGAAGCAGAAACGTTTTGAGGAGCCATTGGCATGTAATCACTGGAGCTTTCCAGAGGGGCAGCCATTCCTGGCCTCATTGGCACGTATGGATTGTCCTCATCTTCATTAAAAGCTCTGGCTCTGTGAGGACCCTGAGATGCACCTCCCAGGGTCTTTGTATCTTTGACTTCTTTGCGTTCTTTTGTGGCTGCTCTGTCAGCAGAAAAATAAAGTAGGAACCTTCCCCTAGACTTCCCTTTTCCACCAGTTGCTCCAGCTGGCGGGGGCGGAGGTGGAGGTGGTGGAGGTGGTGGCATTTCCTGTTGCTTGTTTTGAATTAACTTGCCAAAGTAGGATCTTTTCTTCAGAGATCTTGCCCATTCACCATTGCCATCGGAGTCTTTCCCACTTCCTGAGCCTTTGCCCCCTCCGGAGTTCTTGCCACCACCTGAATTATGGCCATCTCCTGGTCCTTGGCCACTACCTGAGCCATGTCCACCACTGGCTTCTTGGCCACTGCTGGAACTGTGCCCACCTGTGGGGCCCTGGCCATTTCCTGAGCATTGGTTTCCTCCTATACCCTGGCTCCCTGAGCCCTGGTGGCTTGAACCCTGGCCACCACTACATCCCTGGACCCCTCGGGAGCCCAGACCCCTGCCTGAGCACTGGTTTCCTCCTGAGCTCTGGCTACTGGAGCCCTGGCCTCTTGAGCCCTGGCCACCTCCTGAGCCCCAATTGTCCATGGGCATGTAGTCACCTGTGTTTCCTTCCTGACCCGCTTGGCCTTGAGGATTGCCTTCTTCTCCAGAGTTGCCAGAACCGGAACTAGACGCTTCAGAAAACAGGCGAACTCTGTCGCTGGGGGCTTCTGCAGTCTGCCGAGCACGCACCCGGCAGGGTGCTAAGCGTCGAAAAAAGTTGGCTGGCACAGAAATCGTTCTCCTGGACCTGCGCGCTCTGGGCAGGTGCAGTCTTCCTCGCCTGGAGTGGGGCACAGGCTCGCTAGGTGTCACGGAGTGTCTGTTGAGGAGCATCTCGTGTTCTCCGTCACCTATGGCCTTGAAGTGGCAAAATTGTTCAAAGCGGGACCTTCTTAGCCAGCCTCCAGGCTCCAGCCGCACCGTGTCCTGGTGCCTCCTAGTGGACAGCAGGTTTAACAGGTGGGCCCCTATGCTGATGCTGTAGCTGCGGCAGCGGGCTCGGTATTCGTCTGCACACAAGGCTTTCATCTTCTCCAAAAAGAGCTCATGCATATTTTGGGCCACCACACAGTCATCGACCTGCATCCAGAGCTCCCCTGGACCGATGACGGTGGACCTGCCGACTTCCAAGAAAAAATACTGCTCAGAGTGTCCGCAGCGACGGATACTCAGGAGCTGGACGACCACGCTGGCCACCTCAGTATTCAGCCTCACAAACACAACCTCCTCGTCGGTAAGACAGAGCCGGAACACGCCGCTCAGCTCTTTTCTATGCCCCAGCCCCCTGGGTTTGACTATTACCTGCCACACATCTTTGTAGAATGGTGGCTCCGCCGCCGCTGGGGCCGCCAGCGCGACCGGCTCTCCATCCAGCTGCGCGCAGGGCGTGCCGCAGCGGCGGCGTTTGCTCTCGAGGATGAGGCGGCTGAGCAGCAAGTACCAGCTCTCTTGCTCCGACTCGTTTTCGGCCACCAGAGCCAAGTACTCATCCTGGGTAAAAAGAGCGATGAGATGTCGGTACCTTGCGTCGGCTCGCTGGCTCACGGAGAAGCACTGGTACAGGGTGATCACGCGCCGCGGCGGGATGAGCGCCGGGGCTGAGGTGCCTGAGGCAGCGGCGGCTGCCGCAGCGGCCGCGGCACGGACACTGTGCCGGAACTTCCTGGCATTTTCGTAGTATTCCAGCCGAGCCGGGGCGTCGGCGGTCTCGAGTTTGAGCACGAAGTAGCGCCTGTGCCCATGCTTCTGCTTCCGCAGGTAGCCGCGTTTGCAGACTTCCTCGCCGACGGGGAGGTCCTCTTCATCAGACTCGGAGTGTGACCGGGAGCCAGTGGCGGAGGAAAGCCACATGGCTCCCGGACAAGAAGACCCGGTCCCAATGAGTGCGGTTAGGGTTCCCGAGGATAGAAGTGGGGTGGTCTCCACTGCGGCTAGAGCTGCCGCCGTAGCCGCTGCTGCAGCTCTCAGTCTCCTTGTTGCTCGGTGGTGAGCGAAAGAGCAACTCGCCATGGTGATGCGCGATGTTTTAAGGTGAGCGAAGAAGGGGGAGGGGGAGCCACAGGAAGGGAGGGCTGGGGAAAGAGGCCATCTACCTCTGTCCACCCGCCCCAGCCCCCTCCCGCTCGGCCCGCGCCCCCGCCTACTCCACTCAGAGCACAGCTGCGGGCAAAACAACACGTGACCGCAGCCTCACGCGGCAGCCGCCTCAGCTCCAGCCGCCAGCGCAGAGGAGGGGCGCCTTGAACAGCAGCTAGAGAGAGGTGTGCAACCGAGGGGGCTGCCGTCCCGAGAAGCGGGGCCACCGCCAGCCCTACCTAGACTCTCTAGGAGACAAGGTCAATCTTAGAACCTGTGGGCCACCTGGGAGACGGGGCCCTCTGACCACCCTGGTTCTAAAGGAGGGGTACAGGAATGCACAGAAGGGCCGGAGAAGGCCTGGAGGGGCGGTGAAGAAAGTGGTCAGTGAGCCGATCCAGGCGGGGGCGCCACAGCCCAGGCTCTATTGGCTGGAGGGAGCGAACCACAATCAGTTGGGGAGAAGCCAAAGAGGAAAGCTGGCACTGTCTTGGGACAGTTTGTTTATTTGGGAAATGAGAGCCAGGTGAGACTGTTACAAGGTTCTCATTGGATGTGATGGGAGCCAATGGGAGTGTCTGGGAGGAAGGCGGCCCTGAATTAATTAGTTTGGGGGGCAAAAGGGAAGCTAAGGGGCTAGAAGGCATGGCTTGGGTCTCTAGTGGGCTCTGCTGTCAGCATGTCACTCACTCAAGCGGTAAACAACCCTCTCCAAGTAGCTGTTAATAGTAATGATAAATTCGTGTAAATCCCTGAGCCAGGGTGACCTGGGGACCAAACCCAGGCAAGTGCCCTCTTTTGCTCCCTGCCCCTCACATAAATTCTCTACTCCTATCACAGTCTGGTCTGCTAGCTCCCACCGTTCACCTTGCACCGAGAGCAGAGCGTCTTGGGAGAAAGTGTGGTTATCGCCCTGGAAACGTATTAAGGACCCGGGGCTCTCGGACCTGCAGCCAATTCCTGAGCCCTCCCGTGGCTCTAAGGCACACTAGCAACAGTGATGCCTTCCAAATGAACATAATCTAACCAGAGCGCATTTCTAGCCCCAGGAAACGCAGGTTGGCTAAAGACGGTGTTTCTGGCTCTTTGATTAAGGGTGACTGAAAGCACAAATTTGGGGGCCTGCAAAGTATACAACCGTGGGGGGAGAGGGGCCTGGGGGGAGATCAGATTCGAGTTTCACTGGAAAACACCACTGTTGAATGGTGATATTTTCCCGTGGAAGATGCTTGGAAAGGCGCCTATAAGAACATTTCAAAATAAAATTAATTTCCCCTTTCCCTGAGTGAAACCGAAAAAACTTTAGGAAAAGGAAAGCTCATACCTAGAACAAAGGATCACACGGAATACATTCCCTACAATGTATTTCGCATCCTTCGCGTCAAGAAAAGATTTTTGTGGAATTTCAGTCTAAATTTCACACCACACAAATAAGAACCACTGCCTCCCTCATTTCTGGAAAAACTGCTGGAGTGTAAGTGCAACCTCCTGAAATGTTTCTCAATCTCTCAATCGCTCCCCTCTCCCTTCTCTCCCTTCTCTCCCTTCTCTCCTTTCTCTCCCTTCCTCCTTTCCCTTCTCTTCCTTTTCTTCCCTCTCCCCAGTATTTTATGGAAATGGGTCCATATTACACTACAATGCCAAAAGTGTGACTACAGTTCCAAAGACAGAATTGGGCTGAAGGAAAGGGAGAGGGACATATGGTTCTTTCTAAAGGAATAAAATATTGGTTCAACTTTGGCTTAGGGTAGATGCTTTGAAGGATATTATTTATAAAATAAAACAGTAAGCAACATATGCACCATATAACTAAACAATGTATGCATCATGAAAATAAACCTCATCTCTGCCCTCTTAAGAATTTGTTCTCTGTTGGAAACAGAATAAACATATCTCAATGAAGCGCTCCTTTTTGATGCTGCTCCCGTTTGGTGAAAAAAATAAATTGGCTTTGGTCATCCTCCAAATATTAGAAACAATCATAACATTATCTCTGCTGCCACAGGTTTATAAGGGCAGTATATTCACAGGTGCTAGGAGCAGCCATGATTTCTGAAAGGAGCTGGAGGCAGAATGAATATGAATGTTGAGGAAGCCCTAACTGGAGCTGCTACCTATATGTTTCAGCTGCCTAGTCACATTTGTAGAAGATTCCCTACACTTATAACCTAAATGGTAATGTATAAAATAATTTGAGGTATTTATAATAGATATGATATTTCACAATATCGCATATTTCACAGGGTTTTACTTTAGATAGAAATGTTTTGAAAACAATGAAATGCATTTGCAAGTGCTTTGAATAAAAAAACATGACATTTTACATGTAGTGAAAACATATTAAACTGTTAAACTGCATGTTAAATAAAATTTGGAAAATTCTGAAAACAATGTATTTTTAAATCCTAATTTATCTGAAGAATTTTTTCCATATATAGTGGTAGCCTTACAATGTATGTATGTTGTATCTTGTTTTTTTCACTTAACATGTCCTCATGTTATTACTGACGAGCCTAAACATCATTTAAAATGCAAAAATATTCCAGATAGTTGTATATTAATGCACTTAATCATCCTTATGCTTTGAGGTATTTAGTTCATTTTCACTTTGTTCAATATTATAAGTAAAGTTGCAGTGAACATCCTATACCTATATAATTTTTTAAATGCTTAGAATTACTCCTTTGGGGTGGAAACCAAGGAGTGGAATTACTGAGTTGAAAGGTATGATGCATTTTTTTAATTGCATAATTTTGCCCTGTGACCACACTGATTACCAGAATATTAGACATTCTAATTTTTTAAAACATCACAAGAAAGGTGGATCAAATGGTATGCCACTATTCTTTTCATTTGAATTTTTTTATTTACTAGTGAGTTAAAAAATTGTATATATATATATTTGCTGACAAATTTCTTGTGTTTTATGTTATCTATTAAATTCTTAGTGTGTTTTCTTATGTGTGACTTGTTTACATAATAAAGGTATTACAACTTTGTTATATTTGTTGCATTTTTTCCCCCAGTCTATTGATGAAACACATCACATTTAAAATTGATTCTCTTCTATTTTGGAAAGTGTGCAAATTAGGCAAAATGGGGTTTGTAGTGTAGTTTAGAAGGGAGCTAGTGGCAACCACATATGTCACTCTGATCACTTCCAACCTTCTTTTAAACCATCATATATCTAAACGTATATGCTATTGTAAAGAGAGAAGTAACTTTGTTCTCATATCAGCAAACTATTAGAGTGCATCTACACTTGTAAATTTTTTTGTAGCTCACTTAATACTTTGATATTCTCTACTTTAGGATGAAACCTTTAGGATTAGTAAACAGGTTAAAAACAGAAGTGTGAAAATACATTTAAATAATTATAGTGAAAAATTAACAATGCTGATCATCTGTACCAAAAGTGTGTTATTTTGCTGCAATAAAATTGAATTAGAATATAGTGTGATGTTTCATAGAGGGATTTCACTTTGTATGTCCCTACAATAGGAAAGAATTAGGCAAATATTAGTATTGTAAACAGGGAGAATGTGTAGGTAGAAAACATCATTTTCTTTACATAGTTTCACCAAAGCTCAGTTCTAAAATTTGTCTAACACTAAAGCTCTCTGGAAGGGACTATCAATACTGAATAGCACCAGATGCTGCAGATTGCCTGACATATATTTAAACTTTCACCTTCCTAGACAACTAATGATATAGAATAGTTTTTTAGTTTAGGTCAGGTTTCCTTGGGCAAAATAGAGTGATGGTACAGACATCTAGATGGTTTAGGTAAAAAAGTAAAGACTTTGTATCTGGCCTGAACTCACCAGATGGTTGCTTTAATGTTCTACTATTCTTTGTCTACAGACTACTATCTCTTAATTTTTTTAATATATATTTAGGAATAGTTTCCCCAGGGAAGCTAAATTTATTTTCCATATCTAGTTATAATTTCTGTAAAGATTGGACTCTGAACCAAGAATCTCAAACACAGATTTTTAAAACAACAGATTAAAGGTAATAAAACCTGAAATATTTCTTTGTTTGCCAGTTTAGCTGATGGGAGGGAACAGCATTTCAGCTGGTATGTTACACCTAGAAACTACGGTAAATGGATAAACACAGCCACAGTAATTTTAAACCACTTTCTACCTAATGAAGAAATATGCTCTTAAAGGGATTTGCCTTTAAAAGGAGTTTCCTATGAATCCTGTTTTAAGAAAGTAGTTGTTTAAATGAATTAAGTAGTCCATAGTAATAAAAACTCATCTTTTCCCCTCACATATATGATTATCAGTAGTCCAAACTCAAATTTACTAAAATAAAAATAGATAATAAAAGTCTGGATTTACTTAGCTTAAAAATTAAACTGTTGCATTAAATATGGACATTATTCAAGAGAATAAACCCTAAGAGAAAAAAGTAACCAGTATAAAAGTACTATTATTCTTGCCCAATATATAAATTGTCCTTTAATAACTTGTTTTTGTGAGCTAGCATCCAATTATGTTGATGAAAATGTGCTATATTTGATATTCAAGAATGATGCTAGTGGTGATTATTGCTTTCTCTGCATTTGCACATAAATAAAATCATAGACTATGAATGATGCTTTCTACACTATGCAGGAATAAGGGCACCCCTGTGATTTGTGGCTGCAGCCACTGCTTGCAGATGATGGCTTTGCATCTCTGCTGCTTTCTGTGCTACTCAAAACCTCTGCTGGAGAAAACTACCAGCCAATGCCTGGCTGCTGCACACAGCACAGATCTGTTTGCTGCTTTTGTTTCCATGCAGTCTACAGCTAAATTAATTAGAGCAAATGCATGGTTTAATTAGTCTCCTAAAGCTTCCCTGTTATCTTAGGAGTCAACTGAAAATTAACTCAGTAAAAAAATCAAGCATTTCTCCCCACCTCCAAAAAATGAAACTGTTAT